TTGGAGTGAGCTGCCCAACAAAAGACCCCCTGTGAAAGAAAAACAAATCACCAAAGAACCGTAACCATTACCCACAGGTGGATGTGTGCAAGTGAAGTACTCACATGCATGTGCATACAATGTAAATTTAGGCTGACATTCGAGCGCACCGCATGATGGCTTTTGGCAAGAAAAGTCAACACCCTGGGACTGGTGAAAACTGCCGCCATTGGGTCGCGGTCGGTCCAGTGTACGTACACAAACGAATGTTAGAAAATGCTCCTTTGTACAGATTCTCGGAATTATATTCCGAATAAATCCATGTGGTACAAAACGTGAGCATTCAATCGGTCGAACACGCGAGAGATGCGCTGACGACCCGGGAAAAAGGAACAAAGCGGGAAATGGACGATGAAGCGGGTCGTTACAGCTGTGTTGGACACTTTTAGAACGACCAACAAAAGGGTTGCGTGCGTGTTCATCAATCCAATACCGTATATGACACAATATAACACCCCCCTTGACCGATTTTCGAAGCTCGATTTCTCAACTGCAGGAACAGTCACAGCGCCGAAAACGGCGGCGTTGGAACCGCCTCGTCGATAGCTTTTCGAAAATGTATCATTTTGTGTATGCATCCTCTTCGTCGTGGAGTAATCGAGCTTTGAAAATCGGTCCAGGGGGTGTGTTATCTTGTGTCATATACGGTAATACGTGGTCTACCGTCTTGGATATGAATGTTGTTAGTTTTAATTGTTGGTTTTGGGGAGGACATGGACCCTTGAAACTTCTTTCCATTTGTTGTACTGTAGGGAAGCACATTTGATTTGTATTGTAGGCAACCAAGAAGTGACAAATAAGAAGCGACGACACGCGTGTGTGTATCACTCGACGTGCGGTGTTTGTGAAAATATATCATCTCCCCCAAACTAAAGAAAGAAAGGAAAAAATGCCGCAAACATCGTAAAAAGTGCCAACAGGTCACCTTAACATGAAAGTCAGCCACACGTTCACTAGCAGGGCACCGTTCAAGTGGATTTCACAATTTTTGCACTCCGCATCCGACTAACTTACTGAGAGTGCAACGGTGGCCGCAGCCAGCCACACGCTCAGTAGCAAGGCCGCCGGCCTGGAAAAACCCCAAACCGGACCATTACGTGCAGCAGTCAGTACCCCCACCGGTGATGGCTGCATCATCACCAGTCACCAGTCAACAGCAGTAGAATGCCTCGGTGTATGTGTGGTTCGACGGAGCCATTGGTTGTCACACAAATCAGCAATGGGTGAAGTAAAATACATCCTGCACAGCAGTACCCCCGAAACACCTTTCATTGTTGTTCCTGCAGGTCTACAAGGCTGGGGAGCAGAGAGGCATAATAATTGTGAACCGATCAACTTAGACTACAGGGGCCAGGCTAATGCAATGGCAGAAGAGTTGTTCAACGTAAGGAAGGCTAACGACCAGAGTATTTCTAACGCACTGCAACTAACTTCATGAGTACAATGAGTGGAGCCTATTTGTTCACTTTGCATATGCGTGATACTATGTGATGCTGCGAGATTAGAGCGCCGCGCTCGCTTTCCGAATGCAACACTGTTGCTACTCTATTATTGCGGAACTACTGCTGTAAATAATAAAATAGTTATCAGGTACAATAGACTAGAAGACTCTGCACCTTACATTCCTGTGTGACCCCGAGTGGGTCGTCTAGCTAGTAGAAGTGGAGGATAGGGGCCAGAGGGGCAAACCACAGAGTCCAATGATGGGAGTAAAATTATAAAAATTGTGAGGTTGTTGAAGAGCCGGTAGATGTTTGTGCCACACTGCTGTACACTACACATGGAATTCGCGCTGATACAAGACGAAGCCAGTCCTCTGCACATCAACACTAAAGGAGGAAGTAGCAGCAGCGGCATGTAGTAACCCAGTCGTCAGCAGGGAGGTGAAAAGAGAGAGAAAGCGAAATAGAGCGAGAGGGATCTCAAGCATGGTGAAAAAAAAAATACCGACCACTATCATCACCGAAGACGAGGCCGTGTATGTTCATGTTGATCCTAAAATTGTGTTGGAATAAAATTGGAAGTGAGTCAGTAGCAAAAGTCAACCGCGCGAAAGCAAAATCGAGGGCTTCCTACGCAATGCACACCGCCACAATGGTGTATTGAGTGCTGTGCGATGGTGATGCAGCTGCAACCCACCAGCCAGAGCCTTGAGAGCGTAATACGTAAGCCCGAAGAGACGAGGCGAACGAACGAACCTCGACCCACTTCTTGAAAAATGAATGAAAAAGCGGCGCAATCTCGCAGTTACAAGCACCTCACACCGACAGGTGCTAACGCCTGCTCGGGAAAAAAATAGTCCGTGCCTTTATGGCATGTGGCCCTCCAAGGGGCTTGAGTAGAAGCTCGTCTTTGGGCTCGCAAACCACGCCCAACCTGCTTATTCACCTACTGTGTAACGGAGATAATTCTCGCGGTCCCGACAATGCACACGGGGCCGTGATTTTCAAAGTTGGTACGAATCGCCAAAAAACGAAGCACAGACAGTCAGAGGGAGAGGTGGAGGTTCGCCTACCGTGTCTCTTTTACCGTGTCTCTCCCTCTCCGCCGATCTCTCTCCCCCCTCCTCCAGCCAAAAAAAATCCGGAAAACGTCCAACTCAACAAACCCGCGGCGGCGGTATACGACGCAGAGCAACACCCCAGCGCTCGGCCGAATTAATGTGGCATGCCAGCACAATTTCCTAGCCGATGGCGGCGGTGCGGTCCACGGGCGTGATCGCCTTACAAGGGCCGTTTCTCCACCCCCTTGAAGACCAACTCAAAGTCACAACTCTTCCTTCTCAGTGGTTCTCGCATTCCGAAAACCACCGGATAATTTTTGCGACGGGTCGCCTTCTTCTAATTTTTTTTTAGCCAACCGCGAAAAACTTGCCCCTCTTTACAAAGCCGACTAGTAAGCACAACAACCCTCGCGGATCCGCATCCATCCCTTCACCCCTACCTTTGGGACGGTGTGATGACGTTGGTAGAATCAGGGGAGAGTGCTGCACGTGTGTCACTAGAGGGCATGCCCACAAAAGGCACAGGAAATGTGGCCGGCTAGACTCCTGACCAATCAGATTGGAGATAGATTGGATGCTGCCGCGCATAGCTCTAGAGAATCACTACTTTTGCCCACGTGTACACAGCAAAGTAGCAGTTGTCGTGTATTTTCTTTATCGCGTAGGCACCACTCACCCGCTCCAGAGAGATAGTTGCAGCGGATTCCGTAGCGATAGAGCCTCTTTTCAACAACCGGCCAATTTTGCACGACTTTCTGGATTGACTTGCGTTGGTGGTGTGCCCTAGCAAAAAAGTACCAAATCGTGGAGCCCAAGTTGATGGCCAACAGTCGTGAGTTTCGGTGTTTCGGTGGCGAAGACCTATGCATACCTCCTTTCTATCCCTTTCGTCGCCGTTCACATTGTAATTGTCTTGGATATGGGGTTCGGAATGCGTCTACAGCAACTGCAGCAGCAGCAGCAGCGAAAAGATGTGTGCCGTGCATCTATCTCTATGCTTACTTGCGTTTAGCCTGGTCGCGTTTTCAACGCAGCAGCAGGAGCAGCAGCTCCCCAAGGTAGGCTTTCCGTTGATGGAAAAATGTGTACATAGATCCAGACAATCTCGACAACCGAAAACACGTAACACACACACGCACTGTTGTTGATGTTGTTTGCTGAGGGTGAGAGTTTTGTCCGGGAGGGTTAGAGAGCGCGAGAGGCAACAAAAGAAGGCTGCTTCCAGTAGCAGCAGCCAGTATTCCACCGTCCGTCCCCTTGCTTAAGGTCTCCCCAGGCGGCTAGTCGTTACCCGCGTGCTTGCCGCTTGTTCTCATAAAAATTGTTTTTTCGTCGTCTTTCTTGTCGGGAAAAAATAACCCGGCGACTTGCTGCAACTATGGACAGCAGACAACCAACCCGAGGAGAACAAAAATCTTTCTTCATAAAGTCGAAGTATCTTCTTCGCAGGCAACTAACCGCTTGTAGAGGGTCAACCTCGACAAGACACAATGGTGGGCGTTGCCTGTGTCACCACGAGGCCGCCTTTCCTCGAAATACCCACGGAGTGCATTAGGAGGTGCTGATTGCAACCCTCGCGTGTGTGCGTGTTGCGGCAGTTGGGTTGATCGGGAGGAAGAGGAGGAGAAAATCGAGCGTTACATCAGCGAAAACCACGTACCTAAGAACCGGTTTGGCGAGTTGAGGCAGCGTCGTGCGCGAAGGTGTACACAGCAATGCGTACAGCAGGTGACCGGGGCAGTATCCGCAAACGGAGAGCGGACTTACGCTTCCGTTAAATGCAGGCTTAACTTTTCGACGCTGTGTTTCCTGTGATGCGAAAGTCAAATACGAACGAAAGACCGCAGCATCGCATGTTATCCGTAACCTACCCCAGCGAACGGTTGCAGATGCTGCAGTGTTGTACCTCCCCGCGACAGCATCGTCATCGTTGTTGTGCTTGGTCAAAGAACTTGACACATGTGTAGCCCAGGACTAGCTTGTGTGTAGAAGAAGGGCCGCCAGCAGTCCGCGTTGTAGGGATTTCTAGTGCCGTCATAAACCAACGGCTGGCTTCAGTGTTGTGAACTACAGCAGTACAGCCGCAGCAGCTGTCAAGTTCTCTGCTATTTTTCATGTACAGCAGTGTTCGAGTGGGGGTACGTGCGGACGCTCGCTACTACTGCTGTCATAACCGCGTAGCTTGCAGTAGCCACAGCAGTTCCATTTTCAAAACACTTTGGAGCGAAACAGTTTTAGAAAGTTAACATAATGTCACAGAAAGACTACCCGTTCGAGATACAACCTCAGTCGAAAGGCGAAACATTTGCCCCACATAATTTGTTTGCCTCCCAATTTCTCGAGTGCGTTTGGAGACGGGGCAGAGAGCGCCGTTTCATCACCTCGAAGAAGAGCGCTCTTCAACGAACGGCCGTCGATGACTGATTTTCGCGTAGGACAGGACATGCCACACAGATGGCGTCTAATGCCGTCAAAGAACGGGCGGGATACGGAGACGTCAGTTTTCCCAAGAACAGGACGAGGCCGGTCAAGACTTGTAAATGGACTACAAGCCCACGTACCGCAACGAGGCAAAAAAGCTCGTTCAACATCTTATTGAACTTCTGACCAACCCCTCTCGCCCGCCCCAACAAGCCAGACATCTACAGCCCAGACACGGACACAAAAAAAGTGCACAAGCGGGAGGCATCGGCCCTCGTTGGAACGGGCGTCTTGAGTTCAAATAATTCAAGAATACCCCGATCCTGGAAAGTGATTGTGCTTGTATTGCATTTTGATCCGTCCAACAAGAGCGTGGAACGAAAGGGAGCGGGGCGTCTTTAGCATGGAAGCATTCCGGAAGAGAGGTGGATTTACCGTACACGAACAGCCGCCAACAACTCGATAAGCATGCCCCCCCGCGCACACTCCTCGAAATTGGGTAATAATCTTACTTGTGCCGTCATCGTGCGAGCAGCTCTCTCTGCCAACTGCCAGCAAGGCCGCGCGAACAAGAGGCCCTATGTACCTTAAAATACTCATGCATTCTTACATCTTGGAGATAAAGCGTACTCTTCTTTGTACGAACATGCGTGCACAAATTGATCGATAACACCGAGCCAGATTCGTTGAACGGCAACACACAATGAAGAAACCAACAGTACCAACAACAAAAGCTATAGGTAGTGCAGGCGCAACCTCACCAAATGACGACTGAGGAGGTCACCACATGCGACAACAACCATACGCACGGACAAATCGCACCCTAATCACTCCTCCTCCCACGGTACATGACAACCGCCTCCCAGCCCCGAGTTAAAAGACAAGAGCAACAAACCTTGACGAAAATAAGGAAGGCGCGTCGTGGAAGATGTACATAGAACGAATATGAACAGCAGTACGCCACTTTTTGGGCGCACGGAAGCATAACCCGACGCAAGCGCCATCAAAAACGAAACACAAAAAAACAGGACATGAGCAAACGAATCATATTCCATTCGGAACACGAGTGAAAGGGTGACGTAGCCGCCCAAACAGGCAAACTGAAAGCACTCAGCAGAACAAAACAATAACGCAGGCATAGCACATTTATTGACCCCCGAGGATCGCATACAACACATGGGTGGCACCGATCTATTAAGTACTTAGTGTCAAATGAGTGCGTTGACTTCTCTCAACCAAAACTACAAGAGCCTTGCGCGGTACCGCGGTGATCGATCGCTCTCGCGAACAGCGGCGTAATATTTACATGCAAAGATGTACCACGCTGTTCCCGACATTGACCTCTCACAAAAAAGGAAGTACAAGGGGACACCCGCTGCTAGTCTCTCTCCCCCCCACCCTGCCAGACGCATCACTGCAACGGACACGTGTAGCCTTACGGCCACCCGGGGTGTGCTAACCCATCCTCCCGTATAATGGTCGTGGAAGGACAAAGCAGAACTTTCCGACCACATCATTCGTCACCAGAGGACTCAAATCTTGCCCGCTTGCCGGCCGTCTCGGGGTCATCATGCTACGAGGGTGTGGACACGAACAGACAAAAGACGCTCGTGACCTTCCCCCCCCCCACCCCCCATTCTCACGTGACTAGAAGCCGCGTAACTTCTGGTAGGCGTCGGCTGGGCAGCGCAGCAAGGCAAGACAAGCGCCAGCCGGGAAACGCGCTGGTTCATTCTACTCACAGATGATCGAGTGTTTGGAGCCGCCCGCCTCCGAGATGCCCCCGTCTGGATCCTGCATTTTTCGCGGTCGGGGTTGGTGTGTGGATACACGGACGGAAGCAAGACATCGGGGGGGGGAGGGAGGGCGGGGGTCGGTACGCACGTCCCCTGAGCGATCACCACAGTCGCTACCGCAATTCACCGACTGACGCGACATGACATGACCGCTGCAAAGTCAAATAAACTGTGGTTGGATACGTCTTCACACCCCGAGTTGAACACCGATACGACTCTGCCACGCTCTGCCGGTGTGCCGCTGCCTAAATAATAGTGACGGCGTGTGCGGCCGGCTACACCTTCCAGCGACCAGGGCACGCGGTCGGCTCTCGAAATACACTCGGCGGACGACTACGCTCTCGCCACGGCGCGCACTCGCGCAAGCACAGCGGATGGGGGGCTATATCAACGGGTGCATAACTGGGCAGAGACTGAACATCCCTCGTTCTAACAAACACCAAGCTCCTCCAACAACAGCAAGCCCAAACGAGTAACATAAGCTTGCATTTGACCGATAGGAGAGAGCGCGGTATTGGAGGACCCCTGCATCTGCCAAGGGAAGACACAAAAACGAATATATGTCCCACGGAACGCCGGTAAACAGCGAAGACACGCACCGTCGCTCCCGACTCCGAGGGCGGCTTGTTGGTCGAAGAAGGAATCTTGTTGTGCCGGCTGGACGCCCGCGAGCCATTGATCGAACCATTGACCGAACCGGGAGTCGGCGGAGGAGGAGCGTCGTCGAACAGTAAGTCCCGCAGAGACGGCATCTGCTTCTTCATGGCGGCGAGGCGGCTAATCACCGAGCCGGAGGAACGCCCCCCGGCCCCAACCCCCGGCCCCGCTGCCGCTGACGATGCCGATGCAGACCACTGGTCTTCTGGCAGCCTGGGCGAGAACATGGAGGACGACGCCGACGTCGATCGCGCCGAAGAGGAGGCCGAGAACGGGTACGTGGAGAACGAAGGCTTGGCTCCTGCAGCAGCAGCCGACGGAGTGGTGGCCGGGGACGTCTCGAACAGGCTTCCGAGGGTGGACTTGAGCGAGGACGCCATAATCGAAGCGGCGGACGACGCCTCCTTTGCCTTGAGCTTTTCCTGCACGACAAGGTAGTACAGCAATATTGTTTGAAGTATTGTTGTAAAGAAAGCAGGACGGGAAATGTACGGGGACGACAATATGCACCGGTGAAAGGCGGTGCTGACGACGAAAGGGGACGACGCGGAACAGCATGGGATGAGACCAGAAGCAGCATCTGTACGCGCGACCATCTCCATGCAGCTTGTACGAGATCAAGAACTAAATGGAGCACGAAGAGAGGAGCAGTTAGCGCTCAATGAAGGAGCAGGGAGCCCGCTTGAAACAGCAAGTACGACCTGTCCTCAGGCTTCGGTGCAACAGGTGAAGCCCTGCACTAGCCATTCGATATGCCAGTAGATAAGCAACAAGGAAACTGTTGGACGTAGCGACTAAACAGGAACACATTGCAGTTCGCCACCGAGAGGACCAACAAATAAGCAATCAAGTCTTGACAAAACAACAAACAGCATCAGGTGACTACACCCCCGCTTCACCTCCTTGAGTTGCTCACTCCTCCGTCGCGAGAGAGCCGCGCTGTAGCTCGTGGGCGGGCCGGGGGAAAAGAAGGCCTCGATGTCGGCGCTCGAGTCCCAGAGCTCTCTCTGCTCATCTAGAACTTGTGAGAAGTAGGCCTGTGGCAGCAACAGAGACACGCAGGCGGGTTAGCCGAGGAGCAAAAAAACAAGCACACGCACACACACACGCAGCTTTGCGCCTCTCTCGACCGCCACACGAATATTGGAGTGGGTTTTGCCTCTTCTCCTGCTGTGGCTATGTTCCACCTACCCATTTCTTTTTGCTTGCTGGCAGTGGATGGAAAACTAGAGCTAAGACTTGAGATGGTTGAAACCAGAGGCAAGAATGTGCTGGTCTAACGACACTGCTTGTTGGTGTTTCGATATAAACAACAAAAAGGACAACCCCCGTTGCTCGAATCGCGTCACTCTGTCGACAGAAGTTCGGCACGTGGTAGAACATGGTCGCCCTACAACACTCTTGGACCAGTCACAGCCTAAACCGCGGCAACACTCGAGGCAACTCATCACAGGCATCAGCTTGACACGGCGTCAAGGCCACCCACACTGCTTTAGACACCCATGCTCACGAGTTAGTCGAGATTTCGTCTACAACGTTTCAAACCACGCTCTCATGACCATGACGACATTTCGAGCGCTTTCACCTGCAGCCCGCGGCGTCGCTCCTCGATGTGTCCCACTGCGCGGCTGCCGCCCTCCCGGCACCCCTGACAAGAAGACAGCACTTTCCCGATGATAGCACCCTACAACAACGCGGTCGGGCGAGGTATTCAAGAGGGGTGGTCGCTGTTGTGGCGGGTAGCTATCGTACTTGGACAAACGACGAGTGACGATCTTCACACTAACGGCGTCTGGCCACAAAAAAACGCTTCAGCGGCTTGAAACCATCATTTGGCGGCACCCTGGACTACGGCACGCCCATGCACAATGCCCGCGAACTGCTTCCCCAATATTTTTGTGCCGCACCGCAAGGGCACCGCCAAGGCTGCGACTGCTGTGTGTTGTCCCGCGATCTCACCACGTCCTCCTTCTGCGGGAACAGCTCGTCGTCCGGAAGATTCCTTTTGCCGAAGTCCGCTCGAAGGCGCTCCTTGAGGGAAAGCCAGTCGCTGTAGCGGTGCGAGGTGCGCCAGATCCTTTCCACACACCACCCATCACAACGCCGCCACCAAACAACAAAACAAGCAAGAGGAGTTAGGGCGTGGACGAAAGCAGTTCTTGAATGGTTCGTGACACTGCGGTCGAATACTACGCGGGAACATTTTTTGAACATGTGTTTTTCGGGACAAAAAAGATATTAATCTCACGGGGGTGCGCCGAAGAAGGAAACACGCCTCCCCGAACTTCCTTTGAGCGTCTTCCCTCTTTCCGATCAAATCCTTTACCTCGTGCAATACACTGAAAAGTGTAGTACACGTCTCGCCACCAAAACAACAACAACAACAAACTATACCGCCTTCTGCATTGACACGCTGTTGCCCGCAACCTGTTCGCAGAGGCGTGCTGCGTACCTATCACGGAATTCTACCGCAGTAGAGGGCACCATCAGCCACATACTCAAACCGCGTCCGCTGGTCCGTTATATCGTGCCAGCTGACAAGAGCTGTACACGTTTGATCACGAAGGCGTCCCGCACGCCCTCACAAGCAGCTCTCCAAAACGAGCCGCTCAGTTTGGCGCGCTGGCGCTTAGTCACAACTACGCTTCTCTTGAGCCTTAAAATCTTTTGGTGGTTTGCAAGTTTAATCATTTATCATTTAGCGAACGAATAACTCGGCGGGACAAATTTCTCGGCATCCGCCAATCAGCAGTCTCCGTTCAACTTGACCGCGTCCTATCAATTTTCGAGTACAGTTTCGAGGGTACGGCGCTTCCTGGGCACCGAACCAAAACCACCTCCCATTGCCTACCTCATCGTAGTAGACTGTACGTCGTTTGGCGCCACTCTGTGTACATGTGTGAATCTTTTCAAGGCGATATTTCATCCTTTTTGGATGGACGCCCGACACTATTTACTTCTGTTCTGAGCGGCAATTCTGTTCCATCGTTTCTTTGTGGGCGGCGACGACACCGGTCTGCTCTGGCGTGTCTCCTTCCCTTCGTCGAGGTGCAATATGTTGACGTTCGGTACATCCAACGGCGCTGACTCAGTTCTAACATTCAAACGAACACCTTTACCTTTCGAGAGGAACACCAACGATTGTCTTGTACAACAAAATTCTTCCAGGTCAAGGCGTTCTGAAAATAATTGTCCAACCATTGATTCAAAACTACGCGCTAGTATATATAGTACACTTCGAGTACACTCCGAGGGGCGTCGGAGAAAATATGAGGTTGACGACATCGCAAGGCGTGCAGCCCGCCTTTGCGAACAAGAAGAGAAAGGGTTTTATGGGCGTCGCCGGCGCAAAGAAAGTCCAAGGTGACTCCCTCGGCCTACCAAACATAATAGCATGTGCTGTAAAACTAGGCGCCAGCCTGAACGCGCCAAGATACCCTCATTTTGGGCAACCCTTGTTGCTTATTCAACAGGTAGTTAATCAGAGTGGGGAAACAAACATTGTCGCTCATGTTCTGCAAGGTCTTTCGACTGGGTTATATCTCGAGCGGGTAGTCTTTCTGGGAGAATATGGTTAATTCCTGAAAAGGCGTTCGTGTGGGCGGGTTCGGGTTTTTGGAAGAAATGTATGCATACAATACCCTCATCACGGTTTCGTGAAAATCCAACCCTGTGGCTGTCTGACCAACCAACTGCGCGTTCTTCTACCGAACGGGCGCGTTCATTATGCGCCTTCTTTGCTCTTTGGAGTAGTGAGTGGCCACGGGAAGGTGTCCGCGCAGTTGGAGCAGCAGGACGGATGAAACATTTAAAACAGTGAACGGCTCTCGCGGTTTTAAATCCCAAGGCAAGACAACAAACCACACGACACGACATCACAGCAGCAGTTCGCAACCAAAACTGCCGCCCTGAGCGTCGTCTGGAGTTTGGGAGCGATTGCGAGTCAAAGAGCTCAACACATACAGCAATGCTGTTAGAACATGTGCACGTTTTGTAGTCCAATGAGCTGGATACCCACACGTAGATTAACGCGTCAGGTGTACCGGCCGTAAGTCGTGAGGGTGTGTTTACATGAGGCACATGGGTCTGTCAACGATACATACACTATAATAGAGAGCGGAAGTGTAGACCTACATGCACGTCTCACGAACGACCCTAACGGCTGAATGCACTCCTGGCGCGAAAAAATATCCAAAAGCTTTATTGCCAAGATGCAAGCGCAGCACCTGGCAGGCTGCTGTGTTTGTTGCGGTTCCTCCCAGCCACAATATCCTCCAACTCACCTTACTCCTGGTCCATGCGGTGAAAACAGACCAACGGCCCGAAAGCCTTGAAGGTGTGTGGGACTCAGGCGGCAAATGATTGGCCAAGGCCGAGCCATGCCACAACGACACACGGCGGGATTAATGAGCATCGTCACATCGGGACACCGATCCTAGCGGCAGCGTTCGCTAGTCATACGAGTACCCTTTGCCGACGGCGCTACACGACACACTTCTGGCTCCTGGGCACTCACCAACCTCCTCGGGTGTAGACAGCCTCGTACATCGTTGGTCCAGCGCTGGTGGCAAGTAGATTTGGTCGGGGCTCGGTGGCAGCTGCGCACAGGACCTGTAATGATGCCGTCGCAATGGCCCCTTCATCTTCGCTCCCTCGCTTCGCGCCGCTACCCTTGCGGGGCGATCGTAGCCTATTTTCGCCACCGTAGGAACTCATGGGTGCACCTGCGCTCTCTCTCTCTCTCTCTCTCTCTCTCTCTAGCTCAAGCTCACTCCGCGCGCCAGCGCTCTTGACGTGAAGTCCCTCAGAGAGCGGAGGAACAGATGAAGTGCTGAGCGTGCCGTGAGGTTACCGAGCAGCAGCCTTTGAGGTTTCAGATTGTTCAAGAATTTGGCAGCGACATTCGCGCTGGGAGGGCTCGACGTCTGTCTCTCTTCGCCTCGAGACGAACACCAGCACTCCAAGGGTCAAAGAGTCTGTGAAAGACAGACGGGTACGCCCGCTATGTCTCTCGTCTCTTCCGAGCCAATCTTGCTGTGTGCCGCCGCTGGTGCGAGGCTGCGTCTCTGTACATTGGGGTGCCGCACCCACTCCTCGGGTTCCTTTCGCGTCGCCCCCACTCTACTTTGGTTGTTGTGCTGCTGCTGTGACAATCGAACGTGACGCGGCAACAACCAGCACTCTTTCTGCTCCGCGAGTCCCTAGAGGTGAGTTGTGTGTCACAGCATCGAAAAAGGTCTTGTTGGCTGCCAAAAGGTGGGCTCGCCTAGAAAGCCTGCATGTCTTGTTCTGGAGATGGTTCTTGGCTGTCCACAGGAGAAGGTATGCACGAAGGGAATGGCACCGCCGCGCGTTGTGTAACCTGTGATGCTTTCCCGAACCATCCCTTCTTCCTTGCGGCCGTGGCGCAGACACGCACACTCGAGGGGGGGACGAGAATGCTTGGTCTTGCCCTTGGCCCTGTCCTGTACGCGTTGGAGGACGTTTCTTGCGAAAAAGTAATGCTACCTGGTTCATACGCAAGCAGACTGACAAGACAAGAGCAACTAATACAGCCCTTTCCGGCGTGTTATATCCAATGGTGGAGTGAGTGTGCGCGGCACACATTCGCTTCTTCTTCGTATCATCCCTCCAGTCCAACGCCCTTTCGTCGCACGACCACTCTGCTCCTCCCTTGACCGTACGCCTCGACCCTCATGTGCATCCGTTTCGCTGTGCCTGCTGTGCCCCTCCCGGCAACTCCCTTTGCCGGTTCCACCACGAAACCACCTTCGTCGGCGACAGCAGGTTTAATCCCACACCCTCCCTCCCGTTCAACAAGATGAGAACAGCAGCCGTGGGCATCTTGGCGGCCGGCCTCGCGACAGCGGGTGCCCTTCGGCCTAGCGGTTTCGTAGCGAGGGGCACTCCAGGGAGGGGCCAGGCGTCCGTCCAGGGCAGCAGCGGTGCCAGGTACGGAGTACAGCCTGCGGCAACCGTTGATTTTTTTTTGTCGTCTCCTCGTTCGAATGTGCCCTTCCTACACACCCGCCCTCGTCGCGACGACGAGCTTGACACCGTTGGGCAGGAGGGGGATTGATCAGCAGGGGAGATAGGCGTCATACGTGCCAAGCGGTGCGCACGCATCATGGAGTGAGGCGGCCTCGACACGGCATCCACTCTCTCCGCTAACACCCTAACAGCAGAAGAGAAGCCGTTCTCTTGAACATGATTTGATGTTGCATGCACCCTTATTTTGGAGTGTTTTGGTTGGTCCATCTCGTGGTGTAGTTGAACTTTCAAGTTCCCCTCCAGCTACTTGCAGCAGTCCGGATACATGGCCCAAGCTGTGTCATTGAGCCTTTGACACACGGGAGTATTGTCGCTCTTCGCTGTTCTGATATTCTTAAAAACGCAGGTTGCTGACGATGTACCCTTGACTCCTTCATCTGTGGATAAGAGAAGAATTGTGATGTGTCCGTAGGTAAAAAGAGGGGGGTGATGGGGGAATGACGGGCGCACGCACAATCCGTCTCGCCTGTATGATGTGTAAAGATGGTCATTGATCCTACCAGGTAGTGTATTCTGCGGCGACCAGCCTGTCGTCCTTGTACTGCCCGCTTCTTGTCCCTCCCGTGAAAATGCGTTTCCAGGCGGGTCATACTGATTGTTGTGTAGGCAGTAACTGATGTAGGCAGACAACACACCCACTTTATATAAATTGGAAAGGGCCGTTGAATTAGGTCACAATCAACGTCTGTTTCTCTGTGGAAGGGTGCTCCGGACCCGCTCGCTGTCCTGGGTCGCGACTCTCTGAGCCCGGGATCTCGATAACAATGGGGCCATCAGTACCTACCCAATGAGTTCATAGAAAGCTGCGAACCGAACGGTCTCCCTGTTTCTACAGTGGGGAACTACCTACACATATGCATGCAAGTACACTCTACACTCTCGTAAATTATCTACCTGGGGTGTGGTATCCAACATCATGCGACCTACCTGCTGTTCCGAAGTCGAACCCCTTTCTCTAAACAACAGCATCCGCAGCTGCAGGGCAGCATCTCTAAAGGTTGTCGGACCGATCGCGCTGCGCTAAACCGCACCACTTACTTTTTGTGTCGCCAAAATACACTCTCGCCCTTCCCCCTGAGTAATTATTGTGGTGGTGTTTGCGGTGCGCTTGCCCCTCCCCCTTCAGGACAACGATGGTCGCGCAGCCCCCTACCAAGCCCGCGGAGGCAGAGGTGGCGCCTTCGTCGCCGGTTAGCTCCACGGGTTGGTCGCCGGCCACCTGGCGAAACAGGGAGGCCCGGCAAATGCCCAAGTACGACGACCCGGCCCTGGTGACGGAGGTGGAGGACATCCTGGCCAAGCAGGCCCCCCTCGTCTTCGCCGGAGAGGTAAGCTGCGCCGCCGCCGCCGCCGCCGCCACCCGAGGAACTATTTGCGTGTAGAGGCATGTGCTGCATGGATATGTTAAGCATGGTAGGAGGAGCGATTTTGATCTTTTTCGACAGCAGTAGTGGTGGTGGTATCGGACGCATTCGCAGCAGTGCCTGGACCAACTAAATGCTGAAGTTTCGTGTTTTTCGTACATGCCCTGTTGTTTTTTTCGCGCGCGCGTGTGTACGGTTTGCAGTGCCGGGAGCTGATGGCCGACCTGTCGAAGGCAACAAGAGGAGAAGCGTTCGTCCTTATGGGAGGGGACTGCGCCGAAAGCTTTTCCGAGTTCAAGGTAAGCAAGACTGCCGAGGTCATTCATATCCTTGCACGGTTGGTTGCGGAGGTGACCCCACGTTTACCTACCTGCTATTGCACAGGAGAGTCTACCTACCTGCTGGACAATGATCCGCGTTTGCGTTTGTCACGGGCAATATCCAGAATATCCATCACAGGGATTTCAAAGGCTACGCATGAGATATCGATCCGAGGATGTACATGTACGAGGAACAACGGCGACGTGACGAGCAGAATGTGAAGCGGAAGGTGTCGTAAGCGACAGCAAAGCACACGGACAGTGCGGGAGACTGCGAAGAAAGCAGCAGTAGCAAACAGCAGTAGCAGCGACAACAAGAGCTCTTGAGAATTTGTTGCGTTTCCTGTTGTCTTTGTGGCTGGCCGTCTGTCAGGTGGACGACGTACGAGACACCTTCCGATCCATCCTTCAGATGTCCCTCGTCATGACGTACGGAGGATCGGTCCCCGTCGTTAAGGTGAGGCAGCACCTAAGGAGAAAGCGGGAATGGGGGGCAGGGTGAACGGGAGAGAGACGAAGGGGAAGAAAGAGAGGGCGGAAAAATGACGAAAGACGGGCAGGTTGCTGCTCCGTGTCTGGATGCACACCCTTTTTCGCCTGACAAGCGCAGGAAAACCCGCAAACATTCGGCCTTTTTTCGTGAACTGAGTTGCGTGGAGCCGGGACCAACAAATATGGGTCATTCAAGCCTACTGTCGTATTTTAGTCCGATGTCCAGGTAAATTTAAGCTGGACGATTCATGCGAAGAGGACCCGGGCGGAAACATGGCACTTTCGCTCCACCTTGGGCATGTGTGGCGATGTTTCGAAGTGCTTCACAAGAACAGCACATCACTTTTCTCCCGACGCCAGCAACCGTCGGCGCATACACATCGAACTCCAACGACAGGCCTGGCCGATCATCCATCGACAACGTACAATACCTTCTCACTACTGCTGCTGTGTTATTGTTGTCGTTGTGTGCTGTGTGCCCGCATCTGCATTTGTCGTGGACTTGTTGTTCGGGATCAGATTGGCCGCGCAGCCGGGCAGTTCGCCAAGCCACGATCAGAGGACTTCGAGACCATCAACGGGCAAACCCTGCCTAGGTGAGAGCTGATCGCTGCACCGACCCTCGTGTATGCCCTCCAAACCTTGCCTTTTGTTTCTCGCGTGGTGTAAAGTAAGTGGACCAATACTCGCAAGAATTGATCGCGTTACAGTCCGCCCCACAGGTGTAGAGTATCGTGAGCGGTGGCTGGGGGATGGTAAGAGGCGATGGAATGTGTGACGTGTGACGTGTGAGATACGTTGCATTGAACTTTGAACACGAGACTTATTTACAAGCAACGCGTGTTTCTCGTGGATCAACTCAAACAAACTTTTGACACGCACCGTTGAAGGATGACATAATTCTGGCGGGGTAGACTCCAGGGTTACAGCTAATATAGTCATCCAACTCGGTGTAAAGCTCTGTGGTCGGAAAGTCCAAACCCGGTTCGATAGTAAATACTTTCGGACGGTCGAAGCCGGTACGGGATATTGTGTGGCGGAGCGACCTTGATCGTTTTGTTCCGTGGTGTACTGTGGCGACAGAAAGCATTATCTGCTTGGTTCTCGTTAGGCCACCGCTGGTGCCCTTTTATGCATCCTGTAGCTTTCGCTTCGGGATCGCCGCCCAGGCCATGGCTCTCTTCGCGTCAGGGAAGATCATAGTGGCGGTGTCTGCTTTTGATGTTGATACAGTACGTGCTTCGCTCATCTTTCTAACTCACAACGCAACTGTTCCTTTGCTTTGTCACAGCTACCGCGGGGACATCGTGAACGGCTTGGAGTTCACGGAGGTGGCCAGGCGGAACGACCCGTACCGCATGCTGTCCGCGTACCACCAGTCGGCTCAGGCGAGTTTTGCGTTGTGTCCCCGACCGCGGTAATCAAGAACGTTCTTTTTCGTTCGGAGATTTGAGGTGTGGTGCTTTTTTGTTTTGGCGATCTTCATGCGTTTGACTTGACGTCGGTGCACTCGCATTCCGGTATGTATTTATTACAGACAAGATTACCCGCTGGAGATATAACCACGGTTGAGGTGTGTCGTTACGGCAGTGAGCGGCATAACATATTGTTTCTTGTTCAGGCGCATGAACGATGATGACGACGCACGATCATCAACCAACAACAAAGAGCATGTTATTTTCCTAGTTCATTGGATACCCTCGTGCTTTGAGTGCTCACCCACAACGTATGTATTTTTGTCTTTTCAACGAATCGCACCTGCTGCTCACCGGGCACCTCCTCTTTTGGCGTCACACACCACAGACTATCAACCTCCTCCGGGCGTTCTCGTCCGGTGGTTTCGCCGACATCAACAAGCTCAACGCCTGGAACATGGACTTCGTGCAAAACACGCCCGAGGGGTCCAAGTACCGCGAGATGGCGTCCAAGATCGAGGACACCCTTCGCTTCATGACTGTAAGACTGACCTGACAAACACCGCCGCGCCGACGCTTGCCCCTCAAGTTTGTTGCTGCCTCTGCCTGCTCCTTTTTATGTGGTAGAGACACCGCTGTGATGTATCGTGAGCGACGTGTTCGAGCTATTTGCGCACGCCCTCTTGATATATGCAGTACACTGGATTGTGTCTTATCATTTGCAGCGTCAGGTTGTTTGACAACGGAAGCCTGTTTTTTTTTTTCCAAACACCCAACATTTTATATACACCGTTCGACACACGAAGCTCGTAGGTATCAGAGTTCGTCTGGTGCCGTGTTTGGGTCGTCGACGTAAGTGCACAACGTTTTTTCTCCCATCGGACGGCTACAAACCTCCTTTCGATCCCGAAAACAGTTCGCAGGAAACCGAAGCTGCTGAAAACTCTTGATGATTCTAAACTAACTTGGAAACCAGTTGCTGTTGCGTGATTTCTCGTTTCTCCTCCTCTCCTTCCCCTTATCTTCTCGTCTTGCGCAGGCCATCGGTGTGGACACGACGTCGGCCCCTTTCCGCACGACCAGGTTCTACACCGCTCACGAGGCCCTGCTGCTCTCGTACGAGCAGGCCCTCACCCGTGAAGACTCCCTCACCGGTGAGGAGGAGAGAGGCAGAGAAGTCAGAAATCTGAAGATATTTCTTGTTTCCACCTGCTTGGCTTTTTTCATTATATGGTTTTGGGCTTCTTCGCCGTGTGCGTTCATATACGAACGGGCCAAGACATTTTTTTTTTTTCACGTTGCCAGGACGATGTGTTTGTTCGCTGTGGTATCAACCGTTTTCTCTTTTCCCTCCCCCAGCAAGTTGGTTTGTTTTTGTTTCACTGGAATCCGGTCTCACCCGTGCTTGTGAGTCAAGTGAGCTCGTGCTCGCAGATGCGAGCAAGGCAGTCGGTGTATGCCTTTGCTTCACCGGTACCGGATAGGTGAGTTAAGAAGGTGGACGTTGCTCTCGTAATTGTCGCTGTTCATGTTCAGTCTTGTGTCGACATCAACCACAGGCTGGCCCCACAACCGGTACGTTCCCGGAGGAATGCTCTTTTTGTCTGTATCGAGTCGAATCGAAGACCTCGGCTGTACGTGACGCTGGGTTTCGTTGCTGCTGCTACTGCTGTTGCTGTTTCCGCTGTTTTCCCGTGCGCTGATGGTGTTGTTGTCGTCGCCAACGCAGGTAAGTTCTACGACTGCTCCGCTCACATGCTGTGGATCGGCGAGCGCACGAGGCAGCTGGACGGAGCCCACATCGAGTTCCTGCGTGGGGTGAGCAACCCCATCGGCATCAAGATCTCGCAAAAGTGAGTGGTACGGTGGTACCGCACATCACACAAGGCGGATCGAGTTGCACCGCCCCACTGCTCAACGACAAAGAGGATATTTTGAGTGGAACGACACGTTTTCGGCAAGCTCTCGGCGAGGCGGTTACGAAGCCGCCATTTCACGCACCGGCACTCGTTGTTGCTGTGGGGAGATCGAGCTTTGAAAATCAGTCAAGGGGGTGTGTTATCTTGTGACATGTCACCTATGGAAGTGGTCGGTCCACTCGCAAGGCCTCATAGTGCGAAAGGGATGTATGAGGCCGGCCTTGTATCTGACACCCCGGCCGGCACTCTTCAGAAGGAATTATCTCCTGTAGTTGTGTGCGGTGGTTCAATGTGCAACCTGCTGCGTACACACAAACGTGTGCTCCGTCTTGGTTTTGCCTCCGATTCGGTGGCGTTCTTGATCGATGCTCCGCCCGTTGAGAGCTTTTGGATTGCAAGATGTTGGGGTCTGCGATGTTTGATTGTCAAGGAAGTTTTACGTTTGCGAAACTCGTTCAGGTGCTAATATTCATACTCCTATCACGATGCTGCTGGCATTGGTTTCTCTTGCCTCGATTATGGAAATGAGTTCGTAGTTTGGACTCATTCGCACACAACCATCGTGTTTAGTAGTTGGATATTTCCCTTATTGATGATGGAAGTAGTCGGTAGTTTTACTCATTCGCCCCCCATAACCATGTTTGTATGGATTTTTCCCTTGTCTCAATCCTGATGTCTCCCTCTCTCTCCGTTCGTGGGTCGACGGTGATGATGACGGCGCTAACCACCACCACCTCGATTCGATAGGTGTCCCCCGGAGGAGCTCGTCGAGATCCTGGAGACGGTCAACCCGGACAACAAGGCGGGCAGGGTGACCCTCATCACGCGCATGTCCTCCAAGTACCTCGAGGAGCACCTGCCCAAGCTCATCCTCGCCGTGCAGAAGGCGGGCCTCAACGTGAGTCACAGTGCAAGACACCGCAAGGGTGATAAGTCACTCGCATGCATGGGGGAGATGATGGCTGCTGTTGCTGCGTGGTGGGTGTTGCCCAGCTTACCATGCCAGCGTGATGAGCACAGGCTTTGCTGGTCTGTGTCTTGTGTTCCTGCTGGTGGCGCGGAGTCCAACGCATGTTCGTTTGCGCCGGGAGCTGAGAATCGTCGAGTTGATATAAAGTATTTTGTCGTGTCCCTGACGTTCCGCTGTGTTGTCCCTCGACGGCAGTTTCGTGCGCTCGTTTTCAAGCTGAATCCAATTCTTCTCGACGATTGTGGTGTATCCTCTCTCGTTTATGATGATGATGGTGGCTGCGTGCGCGGCAACCACCGACTGCATGCAGGTGCTGTGGGTGAGCGACCCCGTGCACGGCAACACCATCAAGACCGAGAGCGGGTACAAGACGCGCAGAATGGAGGACATCCGATCGGAGCTCAGGACGTTCTTCGATGTGCACCAGCGCATGGGGACCCACGCCGGAGGGGTGAGACACAGACGGGGCGAGGGCAGAGAGAGAGGTGTTTGAAACGAGAAAGCAGCAGTGGTGGAGAAGGCTGAACGAATCGCTTTTTAGTGCCACGCATGTTGGGCTTGAGGGATCGGCTGGCACGGCCAACTCTGCCCCCCCGTTATACCACCCACGCCCGCGTACCACCCCACCTCCTCCCTTCTACATTCTTTGCGAGAGTCAAGATGGCGTGAGGAATCGGAAAGTTGATGTTCGCTCGTCGTCTCACGTAGATCGGTCGGTGGCTCCGAACGCTTGGCAAGCGCTTGGTGACTCGGACGAAGCCCAGACGATCGGAGCGAACATTAACATGCGGAGTTCCTCGCACCATCTGGATTCTCGTAAAGAATGTGGACGGGGGGGGGGGGCTACGGGGGTGCAGAGAGGTGGTTGAGACCCACAACATGGAACATGCAGCTATCTTCTCAACACGGCGCTCGTAGGACTACTCTCTAGTGCTGGCCCTTTCAACACGCACTCGTTCGTGCATGTCTCTTGTTTTTGATTTGGTAAACTATAGATCCACATCGAGATGACGGGCAAGGATGTGACCGAGTGCACCGGGGGAGACGTGGACGAGGTGACGGAGGGAAACCTCAAGCAGCGCTACCTCACCCAGTGCGACCCCAGGTAACAACATACCAGCAAGTATGTAGTGCTTTCATGCTGTTCCTCTGACGACGTGGATGGGAAAAGACTTCGGCTGGACACCCCTCCCCGATATCACTATTGCACGACTGTTGGGGCATGCGTGTGTCGCTTTTTGCTCCGCGTTTTTGCATGTAGAACCCAACGTTTTGTTGGCGTTGCTGTCCACCGTTGTTGCCGATGGCGTAAGCAGAAGAAGCGGTGTTACCCCCTGATGATCTGCTGTGACATGATGATGATGTTGTGTTCGTCATGGTAGTACTGTTCCGACTGCTGTGTGCGTACGATGTTGCCTGTCGGCCTTCGTTGCGGTGTCCATACACGGCATCCGTCTTCAAGTGCCCCCCCGGACGAGCATATTTTCACCATGAAATGGATACCTTGTAACTCGGGAAGTGCATTTTAAGATCAATACATGCGTCACGTCTCTTCACAATCCATTTTCAACAAAACGGTTTTGGCAGGTTGAACGGGAAGCAATCGCTCGAGCTGGCGTTCCACATCGCCAACCGCCTCCGGCGCGACCAGGGCCTGCCCCCCGTGCTCGGAGACTAACTAACTAGACTAGCCTACGTGTTCTTGCTTTTTTTAGTTGTTGATGGTGGTAGCGGTGGTGGTGTATCTGATCTATCTGTGTCCTTTTGGAGGGGTCAAGGTCGTACGTCCTTGTTCTACAAGGTGTTGGTTTTTGCATTGCCTTTGCATCGAATTTCGGTGCCGTTCGGGTAGGAAGAGACAAGACTCGTGCGGCGTGGCGCTATGTACAATGTAAGGTATCGACGGGGGAATGGGTCTGGTCTTCTAGAGCTCGCAACACGACGCTTAATGATGTTGCCTGCCCAGCGTTGCGAGCGCCGAGCTCGCTCGGAGGAGGGCTCTCTCTCGATTTGGTTCTTTGAGCGGTTTGTGTCTTGTCGCGTTCCACGGTTGTGCGCGATAGGAAGGGGTCTCTGGGCTTGAAACAACTGTGCTAGGAAGAACATCGTGTGGGCTTGCTTGGCTAAAAGCTGTACCCTGGTATGTAGATGTCCTCATGCATGCGATGGTCCGTCCGGTATCTGAGCGTGTTAGGTTTTGTGGATGACTTTTGCTACTGCAGTCATGACATGACGCGATAGTTTTGAGCGCTTGGCTAGATGCGTTAGTAGTGACGGAAACTACTGTGCGTGGCGTGGATGAATCATACATCCCAGCGACGGTTGCGTGGCTTGGGAATGATGTTTCGGCATCGTCTTGTTCCATCATGAAGGTGGCTGGCGAGTAGGTCCGGTCGACGGCACAAAGTGCATGCACCCTTCAAGTGCATGTGTGACGCAAATTGGTCGAATTGAACTCTTTTTCAAGAGCTCTTGCCTCCTCCCCACACGCACCGTGTCCAGCGAGGTTCGATGTTGGCATGCAAGGGTAAATCGAAGCAAAATGGGCGGCGTTGCGTGCCTGTCGTTTGAAGCAAACGAGGCAGTTGTAAACGGGTCGGGTTTTCAAGTGCCGCGAGGTGCTTCTGGCGACCATCGGACGAAAGCAATGTGTGTCGGCAGTTACGCGCAGCTTTTCGGTTTCGTCCTGGAGTTGTAGCGGACCTACAAAATAATAAAGAGAGAACCAGGCGGCTGCATGGCCAAATCCGTCGTACTGCCAGCAGCCGTGGAGAGACGAGCAAGTGGACAAGAGAGAGGGAGGTTGTTACAGTCATTGATCGCGGCGTTTCGTGTTTGTCATCGAGCTAGCCCCGAATTGGTTGATGGTTTGCCTTATGCAGAGTGGGTGGGTTGGTTGGACGCGATCGTCGTTGGGGCTTGACAGTAGTTCTCTTGAGGTTGGCCGTTAGAACTGATCGCATAGACTAGGATATTTCGTTAAGCTCTGTTGTCTGTTGCTGGTAACTTTAAACGTGGAGAGGGTGGGGGGATGTCGTGAGGGAAGCACGCTCGCGCGGAATATCCGTGCGGGTTGTGTGGTCCATGAAGAACGGTTTTTGTTTTTGTTTGGTGGAGGTTTTGTGGTTTCATCGCTGCTACCTACAAAATGGAGGGGTTGTTGCATGCAGCACTCTGTGTTTCGTTGTCCAGCGGCTGGGACGAGAAAAAAAGTCCTTGTTGTGCAGGAGAAAAATGCGATGCCAGTCGAGACGGGAAAATAAATATTCAGTTGAGCAGTCGCCAAAATCGGGTACACCCGGTCCAAACACAGCCATAATCGGTTACCCCTACAAGATGCTGCTCGAAGCGACCGCATGACACCATCTGATTGGCCGACGCCGCGCCTACCCGACCTTGACCGTCTTTCCACCGGGTGCACCCGATCTTGGCTACTCACCCCCTGGAAGAGTACCCGGCTTTTCTTCCCCCTACCCGAAAATGGCGGGGCTGTTCGGCGAAAACCCATATGCACACAATCACGGGCAGGACGCACACCGCTGGCCGCTCGTTTGTCACGATGAGAAAGCAGCAGGAAGCAGAGAATACGTCTATGTTTTAGATGCGTCTCGTGAGTGATCGAGGCATTCATCCACAACTCTGCTCGATCATTTGCACCGACCGTCTGCCTGATGCTGTTTACCCCAAGCGAGAGTGCCACCGCCGGCGGTGGGTCCGCCCCCGCCCGCCGTGTTTGGACCCGGTGTACCCGATTTTGGCCACTGCTCAACTAGTCTCAGTTGATGACATGTTCCACAATTTTTACCGTTGAGTGATGCACTACGATTGTGCGTGATCTATCTACTCAACATAACCGGTTCTGGCTCGCTCGGCACGTTGTGCCTACATTATATTGATTGTTTTATTGAACGGCGGCGTCCCCGTTCCGCCAACTAATTGGTCCCACGGCTGACCACATGCATCCTGAAAGTCCGTGTCGTCGTTGATTGGGTATCTTTGAGCTCTCATCATCATCCCAGCCATCCATCAACGGGTCCCAAGGCAAAAGCAACAGAAAGCCCTTCTTGTCCGAGCGGTGACACCACGGACTGACATGACGTGTACATGCAGTATCAAAGTCAAATCGCGTGTAGCATCATCGTCAAACTCATGGACCGTGTAAGATAGATGTACATAGATTGAAGGCAGCCCCCGCGACTACTCTCTCTCTCTGTCGCTATTTGACCCAACGCGTCCTCTCTCAATCTCTCCCTTTTTGTGCTCTTTTTCGTTTGGACAGAGGGCAGGTCGCCGAACACAGGCCCACCAGAGTTTTCCCTTCGTCTCCACTTTCAAGCGATCTGTGGTTCGGTTGCAGCGTTCACACGAACGTTGCTTTTCGACGGAGGGTTACCGACATCGCCTCTACTGCTGTACCTATAAATAGTCTCTATATGCTGCTGCAGGGAGTAGACGGATGCACGCAGCGAAGCAATATAGCAGTTCAATGCAATATGAAAGACTACCAACTAAAGTACACCCTGGGAAACTTCTCCGTGGGATAGGCGAGTGATAGGCATGAATCCATGTGGCATGCTCGCGCGCAGCTTCCATCTCCACCTATAGCTCCGATGCATCCTAGCTCGAACAAGGGGTCAGAAATGAACACAAGAAAGCCTCCGAGGGCTGTGTGTCGCACGCACCAGCATTCCGCAAAAAAAAAGTTGGATTTCCGACTCCCACGGCGGGCAGTACAGCAGAACTACAAGCAACAACTACCGCAACCCAGGCTGGAGGCGGCTGCCAACGCGCTGGAGGAGAAGCCGGAGACACAAAAAATGAAGGAGGGGACAAACGACGTAAGTGAGCTTCATTGAACACGGTTCCCTGCCTTGCTCTGCACCCTTCCATCCCTCCGCCGCCCCCACCGACGATGTCTGCTCTTTCGAAACGGCCAACGGCCAGCTTGTACTTGTTGTTGTAGTACATAGTGGTATTGCTGTACTGCTGTACTGCTGCAGGCACGATGAAGAAACGCCATGGCATTGAGTATGTTTGGGGCGTGCTTCCAGGGAGGTATCCCCGCCATGGGATCACGCGTCCAGTTGTTTAGCCACGCATGATCAGCGGGATAATGCGACCCAACATGTCTCACAATTTTTTGCAACTTTGCAACGGACGCGCAATGTTCGGCGAACAGACAGACGACCTACTGTATGCGGTGTTGCTGGTATGTATGCTATGTTGTTTTGGACGCCCGTTGTGTGTGCAAATTGTCTTGTGATTTTGCAGTAGGCACGAGTTGCTGGCGTGATTCCCTCTTGTTTTCATGGGTTTCTCTTGTATTCATGGGTTCGATTCCTTATGATTGCGCTAATCTAAACTGCTCAATGTGTAAAAGTGGAGGGACGACAGGCGGACTATAGCATCTACCATGCAAATAGTCTAATTCCAGAAGCTTGCTCTTGTTGCAAAACGACAGCAGCACATACATAGCCGTTCTTGAGCTATGTACATGCACACCGACACCGGCAGTACTGCTTATGGGGGAGTGTACGCACGCAGTTCTACCTTCATGCACAGCAACGTTGCAATGCTCTTCGTACAAAGTGCTGCTGCTGCGTTTCCACTCTTTCCTTCGATGGCAATGCACAACGGGCGACCGAGATCATGTAGTGTGGGTTCGCTTGAGAAACACACCCATCCCATGCCCTTGATACCACTGACCGGACGACCTTATTTAAGGGCGTACAGTAATGTCGCCTGCCAGAATGTGGCGCAGCAAAGCACGTCATCTATGTGATGCCTTCCCGTGCTGCTTGTAGTCTACGTACTTGCTGCTGCTGTAGTCTAAGCATCTACACGATAGGCGTCAACTATCGATGTATCGCGTAACTCCGCCCCGCCAAGCACACCACCGTCCCCAACCTGAAAAAAACGGCGTGGAATGACCGCACCGACAAAAACGCTCGTTTTTGAGGGCACAGCCCGCGAAAGTAGAGGGGAGGCCTGAGGGGGGGTGAACCATACGAACGATCCTCTCAGCACTGTGGGCA